ACCTTAGTCTCCAGACAACATATGAACATTTGGTAGTAATTAATTAGGTAGAAGTTAGAGAAGATCAGTGAAACCTGAGATAAATGGAGCCATCATGAGAGGAATGACCCTTGGCCAGGTGTCAACTGACTTGAGGTTGCTAATGAAAGAAGATTCATTTAACAGTCCTGTTGTTTATTTTGTAGTTTTTACACATCCAAAAGCCAGCTCTTCTGCAACAGTTTCACCCCACGAATAAAACTGGCAGGAAAGAAGGTAAGTCTCACTAACCATCAGAGCTTGAGGGATCCCTGGGTTGTTCTGTCCCTAGATACTCCCCCTCCTCGACACTCTGTTGTCATGAATGGAATTTAAGGGCTTAGAGCTTCTCAGTTTGTACGTTAAAGAAGCACTTAAATAATGAGGTAAACCCCAGACTGCAAGAAATATTTTTGGAAAATAATGAGAGTTAGTTTTATTGTTACGTAATTGATTCTTTTTTTTTAATGAGAAAGATTTTCTTTAAATTAATTTTAATGAACATTTACAGACTTTGGATTTCCATTCTTTCATTATTGCATTTTTCTCCCTGCCCATTCCCCCCGCCCCCAATTTACTCTTTGAAAAGTAAAAGAAAAATTCTTTCATTATTATACAATCCCTCCCCCCAAATGCACTCCATTATACATGCTTCATTCTGGACTCCTGTCATGATAATAATACCTAATCATATATTGCTTTTAATCAGTTCTCTCCCTCACCTGTTTCAACGCAGTATACAATATTTTCCCCCTCTTTCTCAGTCCCCCCTCAACCCCAGTGCCAGTCCCGTTTTTTACAGCAGTGACACTATGCAGTACTTGTCCTTTTGTGATTGAGATACTTCACTCAGCATAATGTCCTCCAGGGTCAACCTTTTTGAATAATGTTTCATGAGTTTACTTGCAGTGTAGTATTCCATTGTGTGAATATGCCAGGGCTTTCTATCCATTTATTGATGGGCACTTAGGTTGTTTCTGACTCTTTGCTATTGTGAAAAAAAGCCGCAAAGAACATGGGTGTGCATTTATCTGCTTGGGTGGCAGTTTCTTTAGGGTTATATAATTGACCTTAAAGGAGCCCTGGTAGTGTGGTATGTAACCTATTTGGCTCCTAACCAAAAAGGTCAGCATTTGACCTCCCAGTTGCTCCACTGGAGAAAGGGGGGCAGTTTCCTCCCATAAGGATTTACAGCATTGTAAACTCAATGGAAGGTTGCTAGGAGTTGGAATCAATTTAGCAGCATTTGGCATGATGAGTTAACTCAGATACAAGGACCACTCAGCTCATAGGGAGATGGAGACAGATGCTAAGACATGGATACACGTTTTCCAAAAGGAAACCTAATGGAGAGGTCTTATCTTAGTAATGATGCAAATTCAAATGAAAATGAGCATTCTGATGTGTATGGTTATCAGGTAGGTTTAAAACATTAGTAATTGTGTCAAATGCTGGGAAAACTGGTAAATGTGGTATGTAAGTAGCTGGTTGACACCTAACCCTTGTGGAACACAGTTCAGCCATGAGTATTGATCCCGAGTAATGGGACTTTGAGAATCAGAGTCTTACCTTGTCATTGTACCCCACCTTAACTGTCACCTTCCATGCTGAATAAGAGACTAATGTGCAGGGGATGCGGTGGGGAAGAGTAATGGAACTGCTCATGCCTTTTGACCAGAGGATTCAATTTTTGGTCATATGGTCTAAACAATTGGGGGCATCTTATAAATATTAATCTTGTTCTAGTTTTGTTGATAATAGTAAAAAGTTGAAAATAGTTGTTACGGTTGTGCACCGTTGAATCAGAACCAACCCATACCTGACCCTCTGGATGGTTTTCAGAGGCAGTTAATTGTGTGGGAGGAAATCATCCATCTTTCTTCTATGGAGCGGGTGGTGGCCTCAAACCGTGTGCCTTTGGGATTGTAGCACAACTTCTTGCTACTTGGTCAATAGAGTTCCCTTGAAAACAGCAGGGAATGGATAAATAAACCAGGAACTATCCACTCAGTGGAATGTATGTTCAGCCAATAAAAATGGCACTTTGAAGGACCTGAAAAAAAAGTTTTTGTTGTAAAAAAGAAATGCAAGATGTTACGTGTATGGGCAACATGCCATAGTGCTCTAACCATGTGTTTCTAACAGTTGAACTCTGTGAAGGTTCCTTATCATGTGCTGTGCTAGTTGTGTCAGAAGTATCAGATGAGGAAGATGGCACAGGATAGGGCAGGTCAGATCCATTGTTCGTAGTGAATTGTACTTGACAGCACCTTACAAAAGCAACAGTGTTAGGATCGTTTCTTCCTTCTGCGTGTGTGTGTGTGTGTGTGAGACGACATTCTTCTTAGAAAGTGTTAGTTTGGGGGAGCTCTGGTGGCCTAGTGGCAAGAAGCTGCACTGCAATCCCAGAGGAACACGGTTCGAATCCACCAGGTGCTCTGCCGGAGAAGGAGGC